GGTGGAGTTTTCAGCGACGTGTGTGTCCATGTGGAGCTTCAGCCGGGCCGAGCGGTTGAAAGCCATGCCACAGTGCTCGCAGATGAAGCGCTTCTCCTGCGAGTGAGTCAGCATGTGGCTCCTCAGACTGTCTGAGCGTGCGAAGCTCTTGGAGCACTGCTGGCAGGAGTACGGCTTCTCTCCCGTGTGTGTTCTCATGTGGATCTCCAGCTTAAATTTCTTACGAAAACTCTTCTCACACTGCTGGCAGGCGAACAGCTTCTTCTCTAAATGAGTTTTCATGTGTGTCTTCAGGTTTCCTCTCTTCCCGAAACTCTTGCCGCACTCGGGGCAGTCGTGCTTCTCTTCAGTGTGAGTTCTGGTGTGGACTTGAAGCGTTCGTAGTTGTCTGAAACTCTTCCCACACTCGTCACATGTGAAGGGCTTCTCTCGAGAATGCTCACGCTTGTGTTCGCTGAGATTCCTCTGTGTGCTGAAGCTCTTGGAGCACTGCTGGCAGGAGTACGGCTTCTCTCCTGCGTGTGTCCTCATGTGGATCTCCAGCTTTCCTTTAGCACCAACACTCTTCCCACAGTGAGCGCAGGTAAAAGGCTTCTCTCTGTGGATCTTCATGTGGACTTTAAGTTTTCTCTCTGTGTTGAAACTCTTCCCGCATTGCTGGCAGATGAACAGGCTCCTGGTTTCAGTCTTGTAGACTCTCTGTTGTGAAGTCTGTGAGTATTTGTCCTCGGTAATAACCTCTTGATGCGTCTCATTCTGATCTTCATCTTCATTCTCTTCTTTCAGCCCCGTCAAGTCTACATCAATAACAAACAGACATGTGTTAACCCCAGGCCGCGTCTGAAACCGCAGACTTTAACAATGTATTTTAGACATTTCACTTGTTTCAGTGTTTAATTAATTAGTTTAGTAAACCGAGATGCTGTGTGTTTGAGCAAGATGTGTGAGTTTAACACATGAATCCTCCGTCTATTATTACTGAACAGCAGGATCAGCTGGAGAATCTGGTCTCGGAGAAAAGGAAACACATGCAGGTGTACTGAAGCACAGGTAAAGAAACTGATGTCCAATACTGAATCCCTCATCTATTCTGTGCTGTTTACAGTAATATTGTGCTTATCTAACTGATGAAGAGGTGTTCCTGTGAAGACAGAAATGAGAATTTAGCATTTCCTGTAGTGATGTTCTGTGTTGGGCCTGTAATCTTTAGCTTTTAAGAGTGTTTTATAGTTTATTATTATTCATTTCATATTTCTACATTCTTAATCAAACATGTCAAAATAAAAGCATGAAAATAATCACATAAACAAGCACTGTTGACATTATTTTAAGATTTATAAAGGAAAAAAGTGCTAAATGTGCTTACATGTGGTCAACACACACACACACACACACACACACACACACACACACACACACACACACTATATATATATATATATTTATAGTTGAAGTCTGAATTATTAGCCCCTTCTATATTTCTATATTTTTCCCCAATTTCTATTTATGGGAGAGCAGATTTCATCATCACATCCCTCATCATAACAGTGTTAATAACACTAATAGCTCTCTAATAGCTGATGTGTTTCCTCTTCTCCATGATGACAGCACATCATATTAGACTAGATATTCTTCAAGACACTAGTGTTCAGCTTACAGTGACATGTAAAGGCTTCACTAGGGTAATTAGGGTAAAGTTAGGGTAATTAGGGTAACTAGGCAGGTTAGGGTAATTAGACAAGTTGTTGTATAACAGTGGTTTGTTCTGTAGACTATAAAATATATGTATAGCTTAAAGAGGCTAATAATAATGACATTAAAATGCAATTTAAACAATTAAAAACTGCTTTTATTCCAGCCCAAATAAAACAAATCAGACTTTCTCCAGAAGAACAAATATTAGAGCAAATACTGTGAACATTTCTTTGCTCTGTAAACATCATTTGGGAAATATTTAAAGAAGAAAAACTATTCAAAGGGGACTAATCTGACTTCAACTGTATCTGTACACACACACACACACACACACACACACACATATATATATATATATATATATATATATATATATATATATAATTAGAATAATTAATTGACTAATTGTTCTGAAAGGGTGCCATTTTTATCATTATTAGGATATGCGAGATGTTTTCCAGCTCCAGCTTCAGTGTTTGTCTGCTGATGAAGCTCAACACGAGGCTCCAGAGTGAAAGATCACAGTGATGAAGAGTGTGTTGTTCTGTTCTGTCCTCTGTGTCCTCACAGCTCACTCCTGTTCAACTACAGACACTCTGGGAACATCCAGGACTTTCATTTACGGTTTTATTAAATTTAGTTGTTCTATACCATTTTAACCGCACGATTTCCCACATACAGAGAACATTTAGTGCTGAATAGTAGAAGCTGTCATGTTTATGAAGCACACTACAGTAAAGTACTAGAGTAATCCGCTGTGGTGATGCTGCAGCTGCTATGGTAACAGTACAGAGTAAACTATACTACAGTATTTACTAGAGTTGATCATCTGACTACAGTGAACACTACAGTATGCTGCAGCGCTCATTAACTGAGAGTTGGAGAACACACTTTACTATACGACTGTTCACATGACTCCAGTGTTCACTGTGCACGACTGCAGTATCTGTATATTTGCCTGTAATTCTGCTGTTTTCTGTCGCTTTATTCCCGTCTCACTCCTCAAGCAGCAGGTAAACATATTTAAACAATATTAAACTACAGCTCACATCACGCAGCAGTGCTGTTTGGCTAAAATGGAGTAAAAGTGAATGAGTCTGGAAGTCTGGACTCCTGTGAAACTCTTCTGTGTGAAATAGGGCTGATGGGTGATGGAAACCCAGCGTTTTAGTCAGTGAATGTGACCTTAATAGTGTGCAGTGTGAGATGAAAACCCACCGGTGTGCTGCTCTCTGAGTGTGAACACGTCCACAATCTGGATCCCTTCATTCTCCTGCTTAATACAGGCCATCTGAAGAGGAGAATGAGCGGTGAAACAGAGGAATCAGCTCTCCATCAGCTCTCAGACACTGGACTACCCTCACCAGCAGACTCAGATTAATGTTTACTTCACTGTCATTTACACATTCAACACACACTCAATCAATCGCAAACCATTTTATTCAACTGACTTTTACAGATCAGATACCCTCATCTCCTCTCAACAGTGACTGACTACAGTGTTCACTACAAAGTCATTTGGGGGAAGAAATGAGACACTGTATCTCTGTTCGGCTACACTTGTGGAGATATTTACTCTTAGAAACAACGTCTAGTAAAGTTAGACAGAGCAGTGTAAGTGTTATAGCCTACTTCGAATGTATTACGAACACATGGCTTATTTGCGTCGATTTTAACAGAGTAAATAAGTGTAAAACTCACCATCTGCCAGACCACAACACAAAGGAGCGCGGCGCAGCCTTCTGACGTCACGCGCCAAAATAAAAGTCCCGCTCACAGCATACATTTATTAATGGTTTCAATAACAGTAACAATAGATTGCAGAAACTTGGAACATTAGAAAAAACTAAGATGTTGTTACAATTTGCATAATACTATTTAAAGAATAAAAAGAAGAAAGAAAAACAAAAAAAATTTAAAAATTAAAAAAAATTAAATTAAAATAAAAAAACAGAGACAAGAGGGAAAATTATATAAGGTTACACATTGAAAGCCATTCTTTACTTTTAAAAGACTTTTTGTTTTTTTATGCCCACTAAAAATGAAATATATGACTTAAGGTCAATTTTAAAAAATGCGAAAATTAGATTCATTTTCCTGAAAATGTAAACTATTAAATAAAAAGATTAACAGTGTACTGAATGCAAGATTTAGAGTTGTCATAAAAGAAAATGATGTCAAACGTATTTAAACAAACATCAGCATTTGTGTTTTCTGAGAGATGGATCTGTCCTAAATAATTTCACACAGGTACATTCACAAAGCAGATGAACAATGGTGTCTTCCAAGTCACAAAAAAGTATGTTTGTTTTCAATATCAGCATATATTTACTAAGTAAGCTAATACAAGGATAACATCTGTGTAATACTTTATATGCAGTTTCCTTGACTTTGTTCGTGAACACATGTTAATGTGGAGGATTCCAAGTAACGACACAATTGATCTTATATGTGGCCAGCCGTCTAACACAAGCAGCTGGAAGAGTTTAATGGTAAAAAGACTCCGCATCATACGATTAATAACTTTATCATCCACTATTGATATCCCTTCTATTGAGATTGGGTTGTTTGGTCAATAGGATCCAAATTAAAAGTTTGTACTCTTTTCAATAAAGCTTTTAACCCATTGGCAATGGCATTAATTACTGTCAGGTATTCTTCACTCAGAAAATGAATTTACATTTACAGTTATTTACTTGTTTATTTTATTTTTTGGATTCTGTTTTTGTCTTGCCTGCTTCTTCATCAGACTCGAACCCTGCCGTCATGGTCAACTCCTCTCTGCGTCTCAAGTCTACCAACATACATGGCGAGCTAACAGGACAAACTGATTACAGTGGGAAAGCCGTCCGTACGGAGGGAAGCGGTCAGCTGGTAAGCGTGAGAAGGAATGACGTCACCCCGCCCTGTAGCGTTCGCTGAAAAGAGGAAATGCAGTCATACACACCTCTGGCTACATAGTTTGCGATCTCCAGAAATGTACGCAGGGCTACGCTTTCAGAATGAGCCTGTGTTGGTTTATCTCTAGAGCTCATGTCGTGCACTACACTAATGCAGAGCGCTTCACATGAACACAGCAGAGGATTACACTGATAAACACAGCGCTCTAATGTTTACTGAAGAACACAAACAGAAACATACAGAAACACATGGACACACACTCCCCAACGTGTGCTGTAGCTGTGCATCAGTAACTGTGAGAGTAACTATATGCTAGTGTGTCTCTAGTGAGTCTTCTGAATTTCTCCACACA